ATACCCCCTGGGCCCCTCCCCTCTCTGAGTCTCCTCCCCTTTGGAACTTCTCCCCTCTGAGTCTCTTCCTGAGAGTCTCCTCCCTATTCTCAGTCCTTTCCCTAGGTTTCATTCCCTTTTAATTTCCTCTCCTGAGTCGAAGCCCCTTTTCTGAGTCCCTTTCCCTTTGAGTCCCCCCCCCCCCGGTCATTCTTCTGAGCCCACCCTCAGTCCACTCTCTGATCCCCCTTGGCTCCTGCCCCTGGTGTCTCTGCCCTCTCCCAACCCGCACAACACAGGCAAAGTAAGATGATGGGCAGGTTCCCTTATGAAGAGCAGCAGGTGACAGCCCCCCCAAGGGCCCAGAATCTGGACACAGGGCCTGGGACCCTGGAGCAGACCCCTAACAATGCCCTGGCACATGCCTAGATCCCAGCCAGCAAGGAGTTCAGGTCGGAAAAGGGCCACAAGTTTGTGACTGTCCTGGCGAACTTCGGGGCCACGATGGTGGAGAAGGTGGTGCTGGTCAGCCTTCAGAGCGGGTACCTCTTCATCCAGACAGACAAGACCATCTACACTCCCGGCTCCACGGGTACGGGCTGGGCTGGCTGGGGAGGGCCAGGCCCCAGGGTGTGGGGCAGGTCTCATGGGCTCCTCTGTCTCTCCCACGGCCTTCCAGTCCTCTACCGGATCTTCACTGTGGACCACAAGCTGCTGCCAGTGGGCCGGACCATCGTCGTCAGCATTGAGGTACAGAAAGCCAGGCGCCAGTCACACAGGACAGAGACCCTGGGCAGGGGGTCCCAGAGACAAAGAGACATGCAGAGACATCAATGCAGAGAGACGTCTGGAGATGGCAGAGGTCCAGGGGGACCCACAGGGCAGCACATGCTCCCAAACATTCTGAGACCCCAGTGAGGGTCTCTTCCTCCTCTGCCCACAGCCTCCCATGGCTCCCACCTCCCTTGGGATAAAAGTCTAGGTCCTTCCTGCAGCCCACACAGCTTTCTCCATTCTCTCCCTGCCTCCCCTCGTCCTCTCTCCCCTGCCATCCTTGCTGTGCTCAGTCCTGCCCCAGGGTCTTTGCACAGACAGTTCCAGCTTTAAAACATAAGTATATACAGACCTTTTCTTTGAAAAGCCACGGAGCTCACTCTCTTGCCTGTTTAAATTTTCTGCTCAATTGTCACCCTTGTCCCGATTTTACAGTGAGGATTCCCTGAGCACCCCATAGAGTTGCACACCCCCACTGCAGGCACCAACACACACACACACATACACACACACACACACACACACACACACACACTCAGATCCCATGTGTGGTATGGTCTGCTCCTTTCTTAAGCCCCTCCACCCTCCATTGAATCCAAGTTCACAGGGGAAGGGACTTTTCTCTGAGTGTTCAGGGTCTCAACACCTGAACTCAGCTCAGTCCTTGGCATCTACCTGGGTGGAATAAAAACATAACAGAATAAGGAGGGGGGCAGGAAGGAGAGCAGGGTGAGGAAGGGGGTCTTGCCCTCAGCGATTGTCATGAGGAGGGACAGAAATCATGCAAGGTGGTGGCGAGTGCAAAGGCCCTGTGACTGGGTGGAGGATCAAGGCGGTCAGCCAGGGACAGAGACCACGCGTCTCCTCCTCTAAGTGCTGGTGCCTCAGCTCCCATGCAACAGAGAACCTCATCCACAGAATTGCCCGCATTCCAATCCCAGAAAAGCAGGCTTCGAGGTCTGTCTCCTGAAGGTTAGCTGCTGGCAGTGGAACCCATGAACTTGCTGTTCTTATGTGTTCACAGACAAGGCTCAGTGCCGGTCTAGCATACGAGTGGGCAGAAGATGCTAGTGTTAGCTGCATTCAGAGAGGCACTGATCCTTATCAATGCCCTGCTTATGTGAAGGACAACCCAAGCCAGCGAGCTGGGAGCCTTTATGGTCTCCCTTTGCTGCATGTGCTCATGGAGCACAGAGAGGTTAAGTAACTTGCCCGAGGTCACACGATTTGTAAATGGCATGGTAGGGTTTGAACCTAGGCTGATGGACCCGGGTCCACATCCTTAACCCCTGCACCTGTCGACGGGGTGCAAAGAGGCTGGGGGCAGAGCCTGGCCTCAGAAGAGCCACTTTAAGCCACAGCCCTTCCTGTCTGCTTACAGACCCCAGATGGCATCCCCATCAAGAGGGACACTCTGTCTTCTCAAAACCAGTTTGGCATCGTGCCCTTGTCTTGGAACATCCCAGAGCTGGTCAAGTACATGGGGCTCTGTGGGGGTTCGGGGGGCCCCAGTCCCCTGAGGGGGAGCAGGGCTTGAGGCCGGGCTGCCCTCACCCGCCCTCTCTGCAGCATGGGGCAGTGGAAGATCCGGGCCCAGTATGAGAATTCGCCGCAGCAGGTGTTCTCCGCTGAGTTCGAGGTGAAGGAGTACGGTGAGTGGGGGAGGACCTGGGGGTCCTGGAGCGCTGGGCCCTGCACCAGCCGCGCCAACACCGGCTCTCACCCTAGTGCTGCCCAGCTTCGAGGTCCTGGTGGAGCCCGCAGAGAAATTCTACTACATCGATGACCCGAATGGCCTGGAGGTCACCATCACAGCCAGGTGAGGCCCAAGAGGTGAGACCAGGAGAGCGCTAGGTGAGGAGCCAGGTGCCAGGGCCTGGGATAGGACCAGTGAATGCCAGGTGAGGACCCAGGTGAGGAGCCAGATGAGGGTTCAGGTGAGGCCAGGTGAGGAGTCAAGTGAAGCAAGGTGAAGGGTTCAGGTGAGGGCCAGGTGAGGCCAGGTGAGGGCCAGATTAGGCCAGGGTAGGTTCAGGTGAGGCCAGTTGAAGGGGCCAAGTGAGGGCCAGGTGAGGCTAGATGAGGTCCAGGTGAGGAGCCAGGTGAAGATCAGGTGAGGGGGGCCTAGGATGGGGATGGGTGATGGCCAGGTGAGGACCCAGATGAGGAGCCAGATGAGAGGCCATGTGAGTGTCCAAGTGAGGGAAATTGAAAACCAGGTGAGGCCAGGACAAGGGTTCAGGTGAGGGCCAGATGAGGCCAGGTGAGGTCCAGGTGAGAAGCCAGGTGAAGGCCAGGTGAGGCCAGGTAAGGGCCACATGATGCTAGGTGAGGTCCAGGTTAGGAGCTACGTGAAGGCCAGGTGAGGGCCAAGTGAGGCCAGAAGAAAGGTCCAGGTGAGGGCCAGGTGAGGCCAGGGCAGGTTCAGATGAGGCCAGTTGAAGGGGCCCAGTGAGGGCCAAGTGAGGCCAGATGAGGTCCATGTGAGGAGCCAGGTGAAGACCAGTGAGGGGGCCTAGGATGGGGATGGGATAAGGCCAGGTGGGGACCCAGATGAGGTGCCAGGTGAGAGGCCATGTGAGTGTCCAGGTGAGGTCCAGGTGACAGGGCCTGGGATGGGACCAGGTGAATACAAGATGAGGACACAGATGAGAAGCCTGGTAAGAGGCCAGGTAAGGTAAACATGAGGCCAGAAGAAGGGTTCAGGTGAGGGCCAGGTGAGGCCAGGTGAGGTCCAGTTGGGGAGCCAGGTGAAGGCCAGGTGAGGCCAGGTAGGGGCCACATGAGGCTAGGTGAGGTCCAGGTTAGGAGGTAGGTGAAGGCCAGGTTAGGGGGCCTGGGAAGAGGCTAGATAAGGGCCAGGTAAGAACCCAGATGAGGAGCCAGATGTGAGGCCTGGTGAGGGCCAGGTGAGGCCAGAAGAAAGGTTCAGGTGAGGCCAGGTGAGGCCACTTGAAGGGGCCAGGAAAAGGCCAGGTGAGGCCAGGTGAGGAGCTAGGTGAGGAGCCAGGTGAGGCCAGGTGAGGCCAGGTGAGGGCGGGGACTTGGGTGTTTGGCCATAGTGAGCAGTTAGGGCAACGTGGCCTTCCGAGAGTGGGCGCTGACGCCGTGGCCCTGCAGGTTCCTGTATGGGAAGAACGTGGACGGCACCGCCTTCGTCATCTTCGGGGTCCAGGATGGCGACCAGAGGATCTCACTGCCCCAGTCCCTCCAGCGCGTTGTGGTACCTGAGAGGCCCCTGGACACCCTTCCCTCCAGCGCCCCCTCTAAGGCAGCTCCCCAGGGCACCCCGCTGAGCCTTGTCCCCTCCCCAGATCGAGGATGGCACCGGGGAGGCCACCCTGAGCCGCCAGGTGCTGCTGGATGGTGTGCAGCCCTCCCGAGCCGACGCCCTGGTGGGGAAGTCCTTGTACGTGTCTGTCACTGTCATCCTGCACTCAGGTGAGGCCCAGGACCACCAGGTAGTCTGGCTGAGAGCAGAGCCCCCTGGGGGAGGAGCCCAGCCCGAGAGCAAGGTCCAGGGAGAAGAGGGGGCATCTGAGGGGGCTCTGGTCTGAGGGAGGAGGCCCCGTGTGGAGGTGGGACCCAGTCTGAGGGAGGAGGCCTGGTCCCAGGGGCAGCCAGGGGCCACCCTCATGGTCCCTCTCCTCAGGCAGCGACATGGTGGAGGCAGAGCACAGTGGGATCCAGATCGTGACCTCCCCCTACCAGATCCACTTCACCAAGACGCCCAAGTACTTCAAACCAGCCATGCCCTTCGACCTCATGGTGAGACCCGGGGCAGGGCCCACGCCCACTCGGGGAGCACTGAGCACCCCTCAGAGTCACCAGATCCCCCACCCCATGTCCACAGGTGTATGTGACAAACCCTGATGGCTCTCCAGCCCGCCGTGTGCCCGTGGTGATTCAGGGCAATGATGTGCAGTCTCTGACGCAAGACGATGGCGTGGCCAAGCTGACCGTCAACACGCCCAACAGCCGGCAGCCACTGACTATCACAGTGAGTCCCGCCATCCTGGGGCTCCCGCCACCAGGGAGAGGGTGCCCCAGGGCTTGGCACTTGTACGGAAGGACCCTGCCATTTGCAAGATTTGCAAGTGGGGTGCTGTTGCAGGCGTGGGGGGATCCTCCTGGGGCAGAGGTCAGCTGTCTCGGGGGCCACAGAGGAGCACATGGCCTCTGGCACTGAGGAGTCCAGATCCTACCAGGAGTGCTCTGCCGTGTCCCTGGAGGGGTCCATTGCTGGCACGGGATCCCTGCTCTCCTGATATCTGCCCCTCACTGGCTCCCACGCAGGCCGCAGAGGGACGTGATCCTCCAGGGCTCCTGTGCCCATCCCTCTGCCTTCTAGGCCTCGGGGGCTGGCACCTGAGACAGGCCTGTGGCTTCTGTCCCCCAGATCCTGAACGAGGGCAAGCTGTTGAAGCAGGTGGTCAGGCCCCAGCCTAGTGACCAAACACAGAATTATTCATTTGCAGTTCTGGACCTCAAAGTCCCCAAAT